CCACCACCTCCTCTCGATCGTTGGCACGCTGATAACAAAATTTTTTTTAAATGGCACTTCATATCAAAAAGGTTGCAGACCCCTGGAAGAAGAATAGAACCCTTTATTGTCATTATACAGGTACAATGAGATGAGTAGAGCTACTCCTTATTTGAAGGTGCCATCAAAAATAGAAAAAGAAACAAACAAGAGACGTACACCATACAAACAACAAGCATTCATACTTCAATATGCTGAGATGTTATAATGACTTGAAAACCCTTTATCTCTCGCAGTTTGAAATGAATTTCTTTATTACAAAACCACATTTGTATTTGTTTTACCTTCCCGGAAATAAAATAACTATTGTTTAACTTGTATTTCTTCATCAAGTGACACAAGCTATAAATAGAAAAAGCTCTGACAGTTTTTCTTTTTTGACTCCTCAAGGATGCTGCAGGACCAGGGTCTGTCGTCGGTGCCGGGCCTGCTGGAGAGGGTCCTCCGGCTGAAGGAGACGCACTGCTCCCCCTATCTGCTGGCTTTCCTGTTCGACTGCTACGAGGACGCCTTGGAGAACAGCAGTCAGGAAGGGAACAAGTCGGACGAGGAACTAAAGGAAACTTTAGAAAAGGCTCTTGAAGTGAGTGGAAATACAAACTTGGAAATCATTCTAACTGAGTATCGAGCGCTGAAGGAGGAAGTCCTGAACCTTGGAAATGAGTCTGCATTTTTGTCATTCCAGTCCCTTGTCTCAAGGTCACTGGGTTTTTAAAATCAAAAGAGGTTTGGGTTTACTTCCAAAATGAACGTGTTATTTTGTGCAATATTAAAATTCAAAAGACCCCATGAGCGATTTGCCAACACAAAGAAGTCATTACTGCAGCACTTTGAGAAGCACTTTTAAAATGTTACCTGTGAGAGATCAGGATGATTTTGAATTACAAACAAACTGAGATATTTCCATTATGGTGATGTTTTGACCCTTCCTGTGATTGTTCTCCCCCTTTTTAGATTTGTCATCTTTTGGCCCATGAGAAAGACACCATCCGTAAAGAGTACTGGCTGTTTCTGGGACGTTCTTTGAAGAACAAACAGGGAGCTGATGAGCCTGCGCCCGGGCAGCAGGAGAGGAGCTAAACCACCGGGTCACCAGCAGCTGTTCTCTTTGCTTCAACACAACCTTCTGTTTGCTTGTGAACTTCTGTGTGTCAGCAGCCCCTGAGCACGGATGGCGACCCGACAGTGATCTCATGCACACTGAATCCAAACTGTCTTAGAGTGAGGATGGGTACGCATCTTACGTTATTATCTGTTATAATAAAACGAAATATTTTCTAGAAGTAGCTAACTGACATGTTGATCAGATTTCTTTATGTTGTGTTTTTAAAAAATATATAACTTAAGCTAGTTTTGTAACAGCTATATTTCTTAATGATACTCATTGGTGACAATATGATTCTTATCCCCGAATCAAACATTAATAGAAGATTTAGTTTGTTGGGTTGTGAAAAAGTGTGACATCATGGGAATTGTTGTCTTTACCACTATTAGTTTTTGCAGTCAGCTTCTCACAGTTTAGATCTGTTCATTGTTCAGGGGGATACACTGAATAAAACATCTTCAATTCAAGTAAGTGTTCGGCTGCTGCTAACTGCTAACTCTGCTAACTTCAAACCAAGCTGCCCAATGTATAAATCCTTCATCCGAGTGGAAAATATAGTTAAGAATGACTTAAGATGTAAAAAGTGTAAAAAATGTGGTTTGAAACTGGTTAAAAAACAAACAAAAAAGAGGTCTAGTTTTTGACATTGTATTGCCAATAGATTGATACCTTTAACTCCAAATAAGACTGAGTGGAGCACAGTGTGCACACAGTACCACTGACTCCAGAGCAGTGTTCGGTGGTTTTGTGACATGTCATTGTGTTTTAATGGAAGGCATCAGAAAGCATCAAGACAAATAAAATAAACTGTTTGCAGTAATACTGAGAGTTGTTTGAAACAGTATTCATCACTAATAAATCTAAACCTTTATCAGTTACTCTGAATGTTCTCTGAGCTAAGCTGCTAGACGAAAAGTGAACATAGAAGTGAACTTGCTTGTGTATGACACATGTATGACACATCTATGACACATGTATGACACTGACAGCCTCAGGTCCTGAACTCCCTTGCAGGGACATGGATTTTCCTCCACTAGATGCAGCTGTTTCTACCTCTGCTGACACTGGAACACATTACATCCACTTTCTAACTGAGCAGTTGGTTTGCCAGCAGTGTGTTAGTACAGCTCCTGTAAACATATGCTGTTAGAGGAGGACTCTTGCTTCTCTTTGTTTTAGTGTGGAGGACAAAGATTGGTGAGTCTACGTCTAAAACAGTTATGTCATGACCAGGGGCGTTTCCTGGACCTGGAAACATTCGGGGCTTAGCCCACAGTTCATTAAGGTACATTAAGGCGGCGGGGGTTCCCAAACTTTTCAGCCTGCATCGCGGCCCCCAAAATAACAGTGCAAGAGACTGGCGACCCCTTTCAAATGAATGAATTAAAGTTTTCTGCACTCTCCGGAATATCTCTGCAATGGAGCGAGCTTAAAGGAGACCTATCATGCTATATTTGAATAATATATTGTAGGCCATACCTATATAAGGTATATTTATAAGTTTTCTTTTTCAAAATACCAAACAGATCATGCATTTTAGCCATGCCTCATTTCGCTCTATTTTGCTCTCCTCCACCCCTGTCTTTGCACGCGCTGCAGCTGACCACGCCCCCCTGCAAAGGAGCGAGTTATGAGCGTCATGTTACCATGCTGTTACCATGCCACGTCAACCTCTCATTCCCCTGATTGGTGGAGAGTTGGCCATATAGGCGGAGTTCCTCGTTCCTGACGTCAGAATTTTCAAATCTGTATCAGATCCGTTGCAGCCCCTTTTTTTTAGAGATTTGGGTATGGAGGAAAAGAGAGAGGGTTGTGTTTTCTGACACTTGGTGAGTTCCCTGACACACCGGGGACACATATTCATGTGTAAAAGACATACAAAGGTGCATTTTGCATGATAGGTCCCCTTTAATTTTGGCAATATGTAAGTTGTTCGCTGACAGGTCCACACACTGCTTCACCGCAGCGAGGCTTCCCCGCCCTCCCGTTGACAGTTCACAAGTGT